TCTCTACCCTGAGGTCTTTCCAAATAACAAAACATTTCTTTTATTAAAGATTGGGTTTATTTTATTGTTGCTTTTGTTTGTATGGTTTTAAATAGAAATAGGGACTAAAGGTTTAAGAGAAAGCTCTGCTTCCATTACTCATAAATAACTGTTGTTATTATTCTATTTAATTTCTTAACAAACACTGAATCATTGTACACACAGTGCTGCTTAGCTTGTCCTCCTGCAATTAAAAATATATTATCAACAGTTTTTAGGTCAACAAAGAGAAACTGAGGTCCAGATAGTGCTCCAAGTAGCCCATTTAATGGATGGGCCATGAGACATTTTATCTATCACCTCTGATGGCTGTCTAGGTGGTTTGTGAGATATTATTGAAAACAATGCTTCACTAAACATCTTTGAACACAGACTTATGTATATTAGGATAAGTCTTCTTTTCCATCTTTGCTATTCTAAAAAACAGCATCTCTGAATTTCTTTTTGAGTGTCTATCTAGCTCTCTTGGCCATTTATGTTTCTATTTCTATTTTTATAAGTGTCTCATTTATGTTTTTTTCTATTTGCAGCTTCCTTTTAGATTTCTACAAACATTTTATTTATCCTCATTCTGGGGGGTAAGGTAGGGGAGAGAAGGCTCCATTTGAACTCGTTTATTTGGCTCTGAATTCTAGCCCATCCTAAATATAACAGAACTTTGCAATCAATTTCCCCAGGATTTTTAAAACTACTGGAGCCTGGGTTATAATCCTAGACATTGATCTTGTTGGTGGGGGCAGGAACACTGCATTATTTAGCTCACTGACCATGCTTGTGTGTGCTTGAATGGATATATATTTCCTTCCACTATATTTTTATGATTTTACTCAGAGCATCTATATATCTTTTATTCTTTCTTTAAAAACTTTCATATTTTGTCATGAGCAATTTTCCAAATTGCCTCTTTGTTTACTAACCATCATTTTAGTCTACACAATTCCATTTTGAGCTTATTGACAAAAAGCTGTTTTAAAATGTTTTATTTATTTGCATATTTTTGAAATAATATTGCATTATAACATTATATAAGTTTCAGATGTCCATTGTTGATACTTAACATGTGTATATACTACATTAAGTTCACTGCCAAAAATCCAAACCTATCCTTCACCATGAAATTGACCCCTTTTCACCCAATTTACCCACCTCTCTTCTCCCACCCTTCTGTTAACCACTAATTGGCCTTACAGTCCAAAAGTTTACTTTTGTTTCATTTAGTTCATATGTCTGGTTTTCTCTCTATACATCACATATGAGTGAAATCATATGGTGTTTGTCTTTCTTTGTCTCACTTATTTCACTAAACATTATTCCCTCACTAGGACCATTCATGTTGTTGCAAATGGCAGGATTTCATCTTTTTTCATAGCTGAATAATGTTCCATTGTATATTTGTACCATATTTTCTTTTATCCACTCATCAGTTGATGGACACATAGGTTGTAAACAGTGTTGCAATAAACATGGGGATGCACTTATCTCTTTGATTTCATGTTTTTGCATTTTTTGATGTACTTTTAAAGTATTTTTCTGATAAGTTCCAACTGAAATGTATGGAGTTAATATTTTTAATATTTTGAGGAATCTCCACACGCTTTCCATAAGGACTACACCATCTTACATTACCACCAACAGAGTATAAAGCTTGCCTTCTCTCCACATCCTCTCCAACACTTGTTTCTTGTCTTTTGGACACTAGCCATTCTTACAGGTGTGTGTTGATATCTCATTGTATTGATTTTCATTTCTCTAATATTAAAAAATGATAAACATCTTTTCATGTGCCTGTTCAACATCTTTACGTCTTCTTTGGAGAAGTGTCTTTTCAGGCCCTCTGTCCATTATTTTTAACTGGTCATTTGTTTTTTTATTGTTGAGTTTTATGAGTTCTTTGTAGATCTTGGATTTTAGCCCATTGTGAGATGTATGATGTGCAAATATCTTCTATTCATTTGGATGTTTTTCTTTTTGATGTAAGTTTATTTTGCTGTGCAAAAGCTTTTTAGTTTAATGTAGTCCATTGTTTATTTTTGCTTTTATTTGTTTCTCTTGCTATTGAAGTTGAGTCCCCAAACACGTTTCTGAGGCTGATGTCAAGAAGCTATGTTTTCTATGTTTTCTTCTATGTACTTTATGGTTTCAGATCTTACATCCAAGTCTTTATCCATTTTGAATTAATTTTCCTGTATGGTATGATCTAGTTTCATTCTTTTACATGTGGCTGTCCAGTTTTTCCAACACAGTTTGTTGAGACTTTCCTTGCTCCATTGAACTCTTGGCTTCTTTGTCATCGATTAATTGTCCATAGAAGTATGGGTTTATTTCTGAGATTTTAATTCTGTTCCACTGATCTGTGTGTCTATTTTATTACAATACCACACTGTTTCAATTATTTGCATTTTGTAGTATAGTTTCTGGTCAGGGAAGTGATGCTTCCATTTTTGTTTTTTTCTCAAGAATATTTTTTTGCAATTAGGACTCTTTTGGTATTCCAAATAAGTGTAATGATTTTTCATTCTATTTCTATGAGGAATGTCATTGAGATTTTAATAGGATTGCACTGAATCTGTATATTTCTTTAGGTAATACAACCATTTAACAATGTAAATTCTTTTTTTTAAGGTATATTTATTTATTTATACAAGAACCGGGGTACTGACTAGATGCGTGGGAGGGTGAGAGGATTCACCAGAGACAAAGCGGGGAACAGAACAGGCAGACTGACGAAATACACTGCTGAGGGGAGCAGCAGGCAAGACAGGAGAGGTCAGCCGCGCCATGTGGGACCCTCCCTGGCTGGCCGGGATGGAACCAGCGCTGCAGAGGCTGCAGACAGCTTCATAGCGCAGCGCTCAACCGCCTGCGCCACCAGGAGAGGCCCAACAATGTAAATTCTTCTAATCCATGAGCATGAAATACCTTTCATCTCTTTATGTCCTTTTCTGTTTATTTCAATAATGTCAAAGTTTTCAGTATACAGCCCTTTCACCACTTTGGTTAAATTTATTCCAAGGTATTTAATTTTTTTAATGTGATTGTAAATGGGATAATTTTTCTGATTTCTCTTTCTGCTAATTCATTATTTGCATATAGAACACAAAGATTTTTGTTTATTAATTTCATAGTCTGCCCATTTATTGTATTTGTTTATTATTGCTAATAGCTTTTTATAGAGTACGTGATTTTTTTATGTATATTGTCATGTCATCTGCAAATAGTGATAGTTTAACTTCTTTATTTTCAACTTGGACACATTTTATATCTTTCTCTTACCTAATTGCTCTATCTAGGATTTCCAGTGCTATTTTGAGCAGTAACGACAAGAATGGACATCTCTGTCTTTTTCCTGATCGTAGAGGAAAAGCTTTCAGTTTTCACATTTAGTGTAATGGTAGCTGTGGATTTGGCATAGATGGCCTTTATTATGTCAAAGCATATTCCTTTTGTATGTATTTATTAAGAGTTTTTATCAAATGCTTTCTCTGCATCAACTGATATGATCATATGATTTTTTTTTCTTTCCTTTCATTGATGTGATGAACTATCCTTGCTTCCCTGGAATAAATCCTGTGTGGCTACTTTTAATGTGTTGTTCAATTCAGTTCACTAAGATTTTGTTGAGGAATTTTCTATCTGTGTTCATAATGAATATTGTTCTGCAGTTTTCTTTATTTGTGATCTCATTATCTGTTTTTGTTATCAGTGTAACAGTACCTAATAAAATGTTTTTGGAAGCATTCTTCAAAGTTTTGGAAGCGTTTGAAAAGGATAGATATTAATTCATCTTTGAAGCTTTGGTAGAACTCACTGGTGAAACAACCTGTTCCTGGGCTTTTTATTTTGGGGAGATTTTGATTACTGTTTTAATTTCCTTGCTTGTAATTGATTTGTTCAGGTTTTCTATTTCTTTCTGATTCAGTCTCATAAGATTGTATACTTCTAAAAATTAGTCCATTTCTTCTAGGTTATCCAATTTATTACCATAAAGATATTAATAGTAGTCTCTTACGATCCTCTGTACTACTTTCTTTCCTTTAGCTTTCTTTAAAAAAAAATAGTAATAACATTAGTTTGCAACATTATACAGGTTTTAAATATACAGTTATTTATCAATATGTGTAAATACTACATCATACTCATCACTAAAAGCCTAGTTTACATCCACTATCATCCAATTATACATTGACCTTTTTATCCAATTTGCCCTCCCCTTTTCCCCTTCTCTTCTGGTAACCATTATTTTGTTCTTGTAAGCTGGAGATTGTTTCTGTTTTACTTGTTTATTTTGTCTCTTCGTCTACCACGTGTGAGTGAAGTCACATGGTATTTGTCTTTCTTCATCTGACTTATTTCATTTAACAGAATCCCCTCTAGGTTCATTCACATCATTGCAAAGGGCAGAGTTTCATCTTTATGTATATCTTAACTTAGGTAACATTACTTTGTAACACTGTATGTGATCAAGAAATATAGGACCCCACCTCTTTAGGGGGGGTACAAATATCTTCTATTCAGGGGTGTGCTACCACACCCACCTGCAAGGCACCCATCGTCCACTGAGCCCCCCCCCCCAATCTTTCCTCGCTACCTTTCCCTCTCTGGTAACCTCAGTTTTACAGATCTTCTGCATTTCTAAGATGAATGTTGGAACTTCTCTTTTGTTTCTGATTCTATTTTTCAGATTTTTCTCCCCTTTTTTCTTAGTGAACCCACCTAGAGGTTTGTCTATTTTGTTTATTTTTTCAAAGCACCAGTTTTTGGTTTTAATCTTTGATAGTGTCTTTTTTATTTCTATTTCATTTATTTCTGACCTTAATTTTTTTATTTCCTTCCTTCTACTGGATTTTGGTCTCGTTTGGTCTTTTTCTAGTTGTTAGGATGTAGGGTTAGATAATTATATGAGAACTTTCTTGTTTCTTGATGCAGGCCTGTGTTGCTATTTACTTTCCTCTTAGCACTGCAAAAATATGAAATACCTCATGAATTTGTTTGTCATCCTGGTACATCCATGCCATGCTACATTCTCTGTATCATTCCAATTTTAGTATATGTGCTACCAAAGAGAGCACAAAATCTAAACTCGTTCTTAGACACAATAGTTTATTTAAAATTTATCCTAGAACAAAGATTTTAGTTTATTTTGCTAAAGAAGCGTCTGGGTATAATGGATGCCAACAATGACTCTGGTTTTAGAGTGGATTTGACTTACCTACTGTGTAACTGTATGACCTTGAACAAGCAGTTTAACCTCTGGACCTCATTTTCCCCATCTGTAAAATGAAAAAGCTCACACACCTACCTCATATGGTTGTTGTGAGTACTAAAAGAATGAGTATATATAAATCGTTTAGATTATGTTTGTCTGTTACAAGTAAGTAATCAATGAGTGGTATAAAGCATCTTTGTGAATATCTCTTAAAGCACCCTATTACATATGATCCCATTATAAGTAACATGATCCCATTATAAGTCCTTTGTAATATGTACTAATGTCTAGAGGGCTCACATTCCGTTTATTACTCTACCTTTTCCAAGATTGCCCTTGCTGTTCTGGGCTGTCCTTTTCCCAGTGATTTTGTGCTTTCTTTTGAGAAGTAATTTAAGATCTCACTTTTGTTTATTTATTTTTGCGTACAAGAACTGGGGTACAGACCAGAGGTGCGGGGGGTAAGAGGATTCACCAGAGACAGAGTGGGGAGCAGAACAGGAGATCTACTGAAATACACTGCTGAGGGGATCAGTGGGCAAGTCAGCAGAAGTCTGCGGTGCCATGTGGGTAACTCCCTGGCCAGGGATGGATCGAACTCGTGCTGCAGTGGCTGCAGATAGCTTCATAGGTTGTGCCTTAACCCCTTGTGCCACCAGGGAGGGCCTAAGATCTCTTTTTATAATGATTTTCTCTGGGCTACCTGAAGACCTCTGCCAGTACCTTGAGATTCAAGTTACAATTCAGAGTTTTTCATTTGAGTGTGTGCCTCAGCTTAGTTGAGCTTATATCCTGACTGGATGACAGCATCCGCTCTTCCAGCCAGTGGTGCTTGTGGGGAGGGAAGGAAACACCACCCAGTCTTTCAGTACATGACACTGGAAAGGCTGGGTACCTCCATTCACTCCTGCACAGTTTGGGTTAGTTGGCTTCAGCCTCTGTCTGAGTTTATGGTCAGACAAGAACTGGAGAGTCCCCCTATGGAGCAATGTTTGAGTTGGTTTATTTGAGGTACATTTCTGAAGACTGAGTTTCAAAGTAGATTCAGACCCAGAAAAGCTCTCCCGCTATAACAAGTAAGCCACCATGTATGATTGTCTAAGTATTCTTTCCCTGGTATGGTTTCAATCTTAGTTTAGTGGGATTCCTGGTGCCCAGAGCTACGCAGGGATTTTTGCATCCCACGTTGGAGAAGCCACCAGAAGTGGTAGAGGCTGGGGTAGGCAGAGCAGAGCTGAGACCCAAATAGAGAAACCAAAGTTTGATGAGCCTAAGAGTGAAGACCAGAACCAAAGGAACCCGCTGCAGGCTTTGAAGCCAGGGCACAACTGGAAGTGCCAAAGTTTGGGAGATGAGTAGAGTAGTTGAATGGCAAATTCCATCCAACAGAGAGGTGCTGGGCTGCTGCTTAGAGCAGGCCTCGTCTCTGCCTTGGTATGTGGGGTAGGAGTACCCACAAAAGGACCTGCACATCTAAGACCCAAGTGGAATGATTTGTCCCGAGGGCATGAGTTAAGGCATGGGGGATGAAGATTTGGGACTGCTATTTCCAAGAATGTTTTACCCACTCTTATCCCAGGGTACGTCCCTTCCTTGGACCAGCTGGAAACCTGCTTGACTGGTGGAAAATAGCACTTAGGATGGGTCAGCCATTCCCCTCAGCTGTTTGGGAGCATACCCATATCCTCTCCTTCCAACACCGTGGCTAAGCCTTCTGGCTCTTCATTCAACCCTCTCCCCAACTGCTCCGCACTGGGCAGTGCTCAGGAGGCCTCCTGTGAGACCTTAGCTCAGTCCCCAGAAATGGCAGTGGCATTTGGAGAATGCTGCATTCGGCACTAGGACTCTTCCTCCCAGTGTGAGTTGTGTACTTCTCACATTCTTACATGTTCTGATTCTTAACTCCCACACCTAGGAGTTGACTCTGAGTCTGCAGCTCTGGGAGAAACACTGGACTCTGTTTACATCTGGATTCTGGCAGTTACCACATCTGGGTGTCGCTAGCTCTGGGCACCTGTGCTGTCCCTGTGTTTGGTGGAGCAGTGGGTAAACCTCAAGCCAGGCCCACATAGTCTCAGATTCAGAAAATGTAGGGGCAGGGAGGATTTTACAAATCCAAAGCAGTTATTATTGTCTGCTTTGATTAAAGGGGAAAGGTTAATGGGGAGACAAATGACAAATGGTCTCTAAAGTTGAAAAGAATAATATGATTTGTGTTAGTTTATAAACATGGAATGCATACAAGTCATTTTGAGGATAGATGAAGTTTCTGCTTGTTTGTTTTTGGTTTTGTAGGAACAACCAGGGCTGTGAGCCTGATAGAATTTGGTATTGGATCTTGCGTGTGTCGCCTGTTCCAAAATCTTCCTTTTCAGGTTTTTCCCTATTCCCTATTATTATAGATACTCCTTCACTGGAGTGCTGCATTTAGTACCATTTATCTTGGTGAACTTCCTCATAAATGGGTACTTGAGGTCCCTAGGGAGCATATTTTACTGGTATTTTCTGGTATTCTAGGTTAATCCTAACTGGACATTGTGACTCTGAAGTAGTTTACTACAAGGAATGTTACTGGAGAGCAGCTCCAGGAAAACGCAGGTCCTTTTGCAGTTGTGGGTATACTTTCCTGACCCTTTTGAGTTGCTCCTTACACTTGAAACCTTGGATTGCTCCACTTTGATTCAAAGATCCCTTTGCCTGGCAAAGCAGGCCTGTGCTTCCTCCTCCCTGGTCCTGGTTGTGACCACCAAGATCAGATGGCTGAAGTAGAGGGTCATGTCCCCAAGGAAGAATTCTTAGGGTAAGAGCAGAGCTGGTAATGTTACCCCCATCTGTGTAAAGGATGCCTCCTGAGGTGGCCAGATCATCCAAGGAACCTCTTAGGAGGTGAACTGGCTCTGGGAGACAACCCCGAAGGACTGTATAAAAAAAAGGCCTGGATCTCTTGCTCTGTGAATTGTGAGGAAGCCTGGCCCGTTGCTGTGACTGGGGGTGCCTCGGGCCATCTGTTTGGTCTACCACCAGGTGAGCAGTGATGGGGAAGAGGGAGTCCTGGGCATCTCAGGGCTTGCATGGAGCCTTGACAATTGTTACTTCAGATCCTAAATCTTCCTGAATGGGATTAGGAGAGATGTCACTTATCCTAAAATTGGCCACATAGAAAATAGTGGTTCTATTCCCAGTGTATTGTAAGGTAATGATTCTATTTCTTCTATTTCCAGGATAATTATACGACTTTATCCTGCACATTTAAATATATATTTGTCAGTAAATTTTTTCAGTTTTATCAACCCATATTCTCTTTCTTCCTTTCTGTTTCTCTCCCAATTTGAGGATTAGATCACTGTTTCCCCTTGGGAAACACATGAGAATTACCTAAGACCCTGGAAATTATTTTCTAAGAATTCAGGTGCTGATAATTTGGAAGATGCCTAGAGCAGTTTCCAATGTCTCCAGACTTGTCCATGGTCAAATGTAGTCCATGGAAGAGATCCCTGTGAAAAATAAGTAAGCAAAATGCAGATTTGTCCCATCTCAGCTAATTAGCCTCCCTAGCAGATTTGTAGATTTATGCAAAAAAAGTGGTAGAATAGAAGAGATCATTAATCATCCTGGCATTGTGATCTCATGTTGTTATGAAATAAATATGTGTGCTAAAAGGATCCAGATGCTGTCAAAAGCATGCATCCAATAAAGGCTATTTTCTCTCCTTGGTCAGGGCAGTATGCACACCAGGCTTGTTTGTAACACCTCTCTTTCATCAGTTGCATGTGCTTCTACACATATTCTTTTCACCTCTTTCCCCAACTGCTCTGCTGCTGGTGAAAGGTGTGTAAGTACTTCCCTTTTTTTTTAAGATTTATTTTATTTATGCACACAAGAGCTAGGGTGCAGGCCAGAGGTGAAGGGGAGGTGAGAGGCTTCACCAGAGACAGAGTGGGGAACAGAACACATGGATCTACTGAAATATACTGCTGAGTGGAGCAGCGGGCGAAACAGGCGAGGTCTGCTGCGCCATGTGGGTCATCTCCCTGACCAGGGATTGAACTTATGCTGCAGTGCCTGTGGATAGCTTCATAGTGCTTAACCCCCTTTACCACCAGGGAGACCCTGGTAAGTCCTTTTTGATAGAGATTGTGGGGAAACCTTAAGGAGTTAAGGCCTTTCCCCAGAGTTGATGGGGGTTAAGGGCATGAAAATCATATGGCTCATCTTCTACCAGCCTAGAACAAGACGTTGTTCTCTATGCATCTTCTCACCCTATACACCAAAGCACAAATTCCAGCCCAAGATATCACCAGTTCCTACAGGACAGGCTTGAGTGTGAGAGGACCCCTGCCATCTGCCATGTGATAGGAAGTAATAAGAAGGTGGGGACATATTCAGCTACCATCCAATACCAGATTCGCACTATGGGTGAGATGTCATCTCAAGGCCGGAATCTGCTGCAGGGATAGAAAGCAGAGAGGACCCATTGTGAGAGAAGATGGAGCTCATAGTGAGTTGAGGGCATTGGTTAACATGGATTTGGGGCCATTGGAACACATTTAGGTTCCAATCTTGTAACTGTTAAGGTACTCTGCCTCTCTGAGATTGTTTCTTTTGGTGACTCTGGGTTGCTGGAGGATTAATAAGGTAATTACTATAACCTGCCCATTTCCCAGGATACACCTAAGATGTGGTAGCTAGTATTACCCTCATTAACAAAACCACCACAGGTGAAAAATGAGGTTGTCCAGGAGAAGCAGACAAGTAGAGGAGAACTGCTTACTGTGCTAGCACAGGAATACCTACACGTGCCACTAAGCGTGGGCCCTGTTTGGTAGGAAAGGCCTCTCCTCACAGCCAGTTCTAAATCGGTCC